ATAAAAAATAAAAAATTAGTATTTTTATTTAAAAATTAATAAAATTAACATTTTAAAATAAAAATAAAATTAATATCTTTATTTACACATCTTCTCTCTACTTAATCATTTAAATTTTTTAATTTGGTCCAGTTAAGATTGGACTACAATTTTTTAAAATTTATAGTAGAATTTCATTGTAAAAAAAGAAAAAAGGAAAGGAGAAAAAAAGAAAAAAAAAAGAAACTAGTATATTCATTTCATATTTGGTTGGTAACGGGATTAAGGAAACGAGCCTTTATATTAATATAAAAACAAGATGTATTAAACTTACCTCGACACGGAAACCCAAACAAACAAACCGTTCTCATCGTAATCAAAATCAATCAGAAGACTAACTCCGACATTCATTTTCCAATTCACTGACGTTCCTTTCATGGAAGCCGCAATCTTCTTCCACCACCAGCCCCAGATCTTTCGAACCTCAAATTTTCCACAAAAACCCTAATCCAGGGAGCGAAGGGGGGCTTCAATTGGCTGCCGAATTTGTATCAGGAAGATTGTATTGAGACGGCGGCCAATTGAAGGAGGAAGGAGAGGACAAGATGTTTGGTGGGGCCTGGAGCAACATAGCCAAGTCGGCGGAGGCCGTCGTGTCGCAGTGGGCGGCCAGGAGGTTGTTCAAGTTCTTGTTGAAGAAGAAATTGGGGCAATTCATTCTCGGAGATATTGACTTGGACCAGCTCGATGTGCAGCTTTCTAACGGTACCGTCCAGCTCTCCGATCTCGCCCTCAACGTCGATTATTTGAATAGCAAGGTATGCATGGGTTTCTTTTCTTCTTCTTCTTCTTCTTTTTCTTCTTCTTTTTGTGTGAATTTTTGAATCTCCTTTGTATGCCTTTTCGTTTTCAGTTTGGTACGGCAGCATCTATGGTTATAAAAGAAGGATCTATAGGCTCTTTGTTAGTTAAAATGCCTTGGAAAGGTAAAGGATGTGAGGTTGAGATTGATGAACTTGAACTTGTGCTTGCTCCCTGCATGGTGAATAATTTGTCTGCTTCAGATGAAAATTGCAATTTAAACGAAGATGATAAGCACGTTGTGCACAGTGAAATGGAAAAACTTGAGAATGATATGGCAGACAGTGCTGGGAGATCAATGTCGGGTGATGTTCATGAAGGTGTGAAGACAATTGCAAAGATGGTGAAATGGTTTCTTACAAGCTTTCATATAAAGATTAAGAAGCTAATTGTTGCATTTGATCCGTATATGGGGAGGGCCGGAAGGGAAATTGATTCACATAGGAATTTGGTTCTTCGAATATCAGAAGTAGAATGTGGAACTCGTATTTCTGAAGATGGTGATCTAAAAAGTGAAGCAAAAGTAGAAAGCTTTCTTGGAATAAGCCAACTTACCAATTTTGTAAGATTTCAAGGAGCGGTACTTGAGCTTCTTCACATGGATAATGTTGATGATCAATCACGCTTCCCCTGCACATCAGGAACCACATTTGCTGAACCATTTTCAGGATGCCATCCGTCAAATGCTACAACTCCAATCATGATGGGGAAAAGAGGTGGATTTTCAGGGAATCTAAAGTTAAGCATACCTTGTAAAAATGGTTCCTTGGACATCCGCAAAGTGGATGCAGATGTTTATATGGATCCTGTAGAATTAAGATTTCAGCCAAGCACAATTAAATGGTTCTTGCTTGCATGGGAAACTTATAAGGATTTTAACAAGGGTGGAAGGAATCACAGGCAGAATTTAGTTGATTCTGTGTGCTTGACTTCAAATTCTCAACTCCATTCTTCAATGCCTGCTTCTAATGTAATTGCCACTGATAAGGTTGTCTCGTTTGATGGTTGCTTTTCTGCTGAAAGCTCATCTTTGAATAAGCAGGAATTGGCATCTGAAGCTCTTCTACCTGGTGCACATCTTATACCAGATTGGGTGCCATTTTCAGTTAGCAAAGACCATAAGGGTTCTACTGGAGAAGTTGATTTTGGGGCAAGGTTGGTGCTTCTTAAACAGGAATTGACTTTTAATGCCTTCATTAGATACTTCATGCTTATATCTTCTGAAGCAATAAACTTACTGGAAGTTACAATAACAGATAGAAAAGACAAAGTCCTTCGTTGCAAGTTACTGTGTCAAAGCATTATAGTTCTTGTTTTATTGGTTGTCTATTGATTGATTCCACCAATTCCTTCTATTAACACTAAGATCTAAGTGCTTGATCAAAGCATTAGGACTTGCAAATTAAACGTCAAGATTTCTTTTACAATTTATCCTTTACAATTTACATTAAGGCTTTTTGTTCATCTTGTAATGCTAGTGTTTCATATATGTGGATGAAAAGGTGAAAGGTAAGACTGATTTTATTTCTTATTTTTTTATTTTATTATCAGTGATAGAGATGATTTTATTATAATTGAGTACAGTGGTACTCAAACTCTTATACACAGAGGTAAGAATGATTTTGAGATCTTGTGTACATGCCATTGGTCTTATTACTTCTAATTTATTGACTTTTGGTGTTTGTGTAGTGTTGACCACTTCTTTGAGTGCTTTGATGGAATGAGAAGCTTCCAAACAGCATTAGGAAGCAGTGGAATGTGGAATTGGACATGTTCTGTCTTCAGTGCAATAACTGCTGCATCCAGCCTTGCATCCGGATCTTTGAATTTACCTTCTGGTATGTGCACTTTTTTCTTATTATTTTATTCCTCCTAAATAAGTAACCAATTTTCTTGTAGTAGAGAAAGAATCAAAAAAGGCAAGAATCATGCACATGTGATCCTTATATTGCCTGTCTTTTCCAATAGTTTTTCTGAATTGAACTGCTTATATTGCTGTCTTTTCTAATCATTTTTTTGAATTGAACTCCTATTTATATTTTTATGTATAGAATCTATAACTAAAATAGAATAGGAACATCCACTTGGAAAATGCTGTTACTTATGGATAATTAATTCAACTGTTCATATTACTATTCTTATTTTTATTTCTTTATTTATTTTTTTTTCATTTGGTTTTAAACAGAGCAGCAGCATGTCCAAACTAATTTGAAAGCTACCTTTGCTGGAATTTCTATTATATTGTCCTTCCATGATGAAGATCAGAATCATACGAATGAGCAGAATGGCTATCGAATTCATGGTGGCTCAAATGTTCATTACCTGGGTGCAGAATGCAGTGATATTTTTCTTCTTATGCAGGTAATTATTGTGCATGGAGGACTGGGGTTTCTTTCCATTCATCCTTTTCCTATCCTTATCTCTGCACTTTTATTGGTGATTCCCCATAATATATCCATGTTAACTTGAAATATGCGGTAACAGGTATGTCCTCGAGAAATGAGATTGGATGGAACAATGAAGCATATTGAAGTTGCTGATTACTTATGCAAGCAAAATGATGTGTGTGGTTGTAGTGACCCTAATGGCAGTCAAACTCTTTTGATTAAAAATCTTCAAGCTGAAGTTCAACGCACTCTCCCTTCATTTTCCATCTATGAAGAAGATACTGCATCAGATGAATTGTGTGGGCTATTTACTGCTGATTTTCCATCCAGCAAAAAGGGTGATGTCATAAAAAATATGTTATTTAGAACTTTTGCTGCAACTCATTGCCAATTTGTGAAGTCAAGTTCATCAGATGACAACTTTTCAGGGACAACATTAATTTCATTGAAATTGCCTCCTCTGATATTCTGGTTGAACTTCTGCTCAACAAATTTGTTATTGGATCTCTTAAAGGAAGTTGGAGAATCAACAGAAATGAATTACCAAAAGAATGCACTTTCACATGATGTCTGCAATGATCAGTGTGAATCATCTCATGGGCATGTGAAGAGAGCTTCTGGTCCCCATATTACAACTCTCTCATCAATAAAAACTGTACGGGGTGACATATCAATCCCAAATGCAAGAATAATTCTTTGTTTCCCTTTTAAGAGTGGTGGGGATGATGGAGGTTATTCTTCATGGAATCAATTTATTGCCCTTGATATATCTTCACCATCAAATTCAGAAAGTGCAGTGATACAAGACACAAGACAGCCATTGGATAGAAGTTTGGAGAGACGGGTTTCTTCAATAGCCAGGCATTCTTTGCACTTGAATATTGGTAATCTTGATATTTACTTGGTTACTCCGTCTCATCAAGATGATTCTAGATTTGTTTCTTGTGGTATGCAGCCATGTAAGTTTTCTGCTGAGGGTATTTTGTCTGTTAGCAACAGGACGGGATGTTTTTCTGTAATTAGTGTGCTTTGGCAGGAAGGTCCTGCAACTGGTCCTTGGATAGCAGACAAAGCCAAGCTCTTAGCTACTCAAGAGGAAACAAGGAACAAAAATAAAT